GCCGCGCTGCGACACAACGACAACTGTGTGCTATTCTCGGCCGCTGGGGGCCCTCGCCGGGCTTCGGGGCCATCCACAAAACAGGGTGAAACTCTGGTCGCGGGAATGGGTTCAGACAACCAGAATCGACGAGATCCAGCGACATCCCCAGAACCGGAAATCATGATTTGTCCTGGCTTTTCATCCTGTGTCGTGTTTCGACGGTCCTGGGGGCTGGCGAGGGCCCCCAGAGACCGAAAACAGCAAAACGCAGACCGTAGCGAATTCTGTTCACAATGCGAACAAATGCTGTGGCATCGCATGGGGGGGCGCTAGTTGCCCCATCGATCGCCAGATGCTGGCGCGCGCTGGCGTATTCTAAAAGTGGCATTGTGAGGGCGCGGGGCCCCCGTGAACTGCCACCGGACGCACGCCTGTGGCGACATCTGGGTCATCTGAGCAGGGGGTGCCCGCCCCGACATTCTCATGCCTATAGGCCCACCACGAAATGCCAAAACATGCTAACTAACCCAAACAATGTGCTTAGAAAAGAAGGTCGCTGAATCAAACAAGACAGCCTCATGCCCTAAGACAAGTTCTTACAAACCACACGAGGTTCTTAGAACATTCTTTGGTGAGCCCATGGGCAAGCCAGGACGCTGCGCCTCTGCTTGGGCCATGGCCCGCGTGCTCCCTTCCTGGGGCGACATCTTGGTCACTGAGGGAACTCCAAGGCACCGATGCCGCTATGCACGCGCCGATCCTCCCCCACCTCCCCCTCCTCCTCCTCCTCTTCCTCCTCCTCCTCGTCCTCCTCCTCCTCCACTTCCTCCTCCCCCCGCCCCCCTCCCCCCCCCCCCCCTTTTTTCCTTTCCCCCCCCCCCCCCCCCCATTTCCTCTTCCTCTTCCTCCTCCTCCTCCTCCTCCCTCCCTCCCTCATTCCTCTTCTCATCCCTCCGTTCCTCACCCCGCCCCCGTCCTCCTCCACCTCGCTCTCCTCCTCTTCCTCCTCCTCCTCCTCCTCTTCCCCCCCCTCCTCCTCCCCCCCCCTCCTCCTCCTTCCCCTGTCTTCCGGTTCCTCCTTCAGTCACCTGGCGGCGGCAGGGGCGGCGGCGGCAAGGGCGAGGATGGGGGGCGCCTGCGCGCAGAAGGCGCCGACGGCGGAGCGCCGTCCTGAGCGGGGCCCCTCTCGTCCTCTTAGATTCGCATCCCTCTCCTCCTCCTTCTCCTCCTCTTCCTTTTTCTTCCCCTCTCCCCCCCCCCCCCTCGCCCCCGTTTCAAGCGGGAGATGCGGGCGGGGGAAGGGGCCGCGCAAGCGCGCGTCCTCAAGCGAGAGCGGCGGGGCACCGCTCCGCGATCTTCTCTCTGGCAGTCGGGCAGCGCTCCAAATCCACCGCCTTCGCGTCCCTTGCGGGGGCAAGAGCGCGCAACAACGGCGGGGCAACGTAAAGGGGGAAATGGCAAAGCTGGGGGATGGGGGCCGCAAGGGCTCGGGGCCTCCGCAGCGCGGCGACCTCGTCATCGCGCCGTTGGCGCCGCGCTCGACGCTGATCCAGCCAGGCGGGCACATTCGCGCGATTCACTTGGGATCTTTCAAAGAGGCGGGGGGGGGGGGGGGGGGGGGCGGGGGAGGGGGGGGGGGTTCTGCCCCCCCCCTCCCCTTCCTGCCTAAACCCCCCCCCCCCCCCCCCCCCCCCCCCCCCTCGTCCCCCCCCGCCCCCCCTCGCGCCGCGGTCGTGCCATCCTGCCCGCCCAGGGCGGAATGGCCGGGGATTTCTGGGGCCAGCTAGCCCAGACAGTAGCATTCTAAAGAAGCTTTGGGTGCGTCCCAAAATGGCCACCATCCAGGCCCGCAGTGCGAGGTGCGTCATCTCTGGCGCCGCGTGGTTGGGGGGGTGCTCTGGCCCATCGAATTGCGCAATCGTGAGCGTTTTAGATTTGCCCTTGCCGCCCAAATGACCAGTGGCCCATTTGCCCAGGAGGATCATCTTTGCATTTGGCCACCCCATGTTCCCGGTGAGAGTAAAGAAGGCGTTCTTCCATGCAGCGTGGGTTCCGCGAGGTGCACGGTCGACGACGCCAGGAACGTCGTCGGGTTCTGGCGCAAGCTCGGGCGGGCAACCCTCGCCCGCGAGGTCAACCTCAGGCCCATCCTCGTCTAGCGCGTCGTCCATGTCGGAAGCTACATCTGAAAAAAGAACGCCCACATCTGATGTATCAGCATCGATGGCCTCCACAACAGTAACTGCGTCCTCGGGGCCCTCGTCCGCGCGCGCGCCCTCCGAATCGCCAGCAGCCGTCGGCGGGCCCTTGGGCGCCCCGCCCGCGCCAGCGGCCCTCGGCGGGATCTTGACGTCTGAGAGGCCAACCGCCTTCACCTGGATCAGAGGGGGCGCCAGGCTGCAGCGCGCCCGCAGCTTGGCGACGCGGATGTCGTCAAACTCCGCTGTCTTTTTCAACTCCGCGGCGGGGCGGAACATTTGTTTCAAAGGGGCGCGGGTGTCAATGACAAAGCCGCCGATTCGGGCAGCGCCGAGGCGTCGCGGGGGAGCAAAGCGGCAAAAACCTGGCCACGGACGCCCGTTTGGGCTTAGATGCGGGCTACCGTTGCGAAATAGCGTTTTCGCTGGTAAATCTCGGGTTCCGGCCCTAAATGGTCGGCAATGCACGGCAGGGCCAGTTTGGAAATAATATATATATATATATATATATTTATATATATATATATATATACACATACAACCGAGCGGAAGGGCAATTTTCAAAAGGAAGCCCAGCGAGCCAGCAAGTAGTCCAAAGAGGGGCGCCAACGGCGAGTTGCCCCGGGCGAAGACGAGGGCGGGGGCGGCGGGCGCGCCGCGATAGCGGCTGAATCGGCCGCCAAGGTCAGTGGACGGGTCCGCTTCGAGCGGCGTGGCCCACGCTAGTTGCCCGATCTTGCAGCTGAAGATCTCGAGCCGACCTGCTGGGGGCCCCAGCGTGAAAAAGCCGTGTTTCGCATGCGCCAGCTTTTTTTCACCCATCGGATATCTGGCGCGACAGGCCTGACTGCCTGCAAGCGATCGGCGGCCGGTAGCGGGGCCGCGGGGCGATGCCGTTCCGAGAGAGGTCGGCGAGCCGCTGTCGAAAATTTGAGGGGGTCTTTCCAAGTCTCGTCGTTCTGGTCCATCCAGGCAAGCCATTCGGAGTTCGTTTGGGGATATATGCTCCCCTCTTGTTGCTTACTGTGCTTGGCCACATCTCGCATCGACTTCGCATTTGCCGTCAGTTCCTCTCTGCGCTCCTCGAAGTGCGCGCGAAGTGCTGGTAGATCGCCTTCATGCGTGAGCGCGCGTTGTTGGGTCAGTTGCGTCTCGCTCTCCCAGTGAGGCCTGCCTCTGGGGCGCGGCATGAGATCTTTTCTCCCCTGGACAGCCGAGCTCCATGCCGAAATCGTCGCCAACTTGGCGCGCGTCTTCTGCGCTGAGATGGCGTTCGATATGGCCGCGCCGCGCTGCGACCTGCACGCTCGGAAGATGTTGCTCCTGGAGGCGCGGGCCACGCTGGTGATCCTGAACCCCTTGCGGCCCTCTTCGCGCTTGGTCAGCCAGTGCTCCCGCTCGACGTCCAAGCTGGCGGCCTCGGACTTGTCGAATATGAGCTCCGGCTCCTCCTGCGCCGCGGGAGGCCCCATGGAAGCCGCCCGCTGCCGCAGCGGAAGGCTGTGACCGTTTCCAGGGCATCGTCGGGCGTTGCGAGCAGAAGCTCTTCGATTGCCTTCGGATGCAATAGAGGGTTCCACCGACGCGTCAGTTTCCACAGAGCACAGGGGAAACTGAAGAACACATCGAAACGCATAAATAAATGCCCCGCTGCCAGGAGAATCCGGGGCACCGCGGCGTCGACGCTAAGATCCGCGTCGCAATCCAAAGACTGCAACCTGCGAGAGACATCATCACTCCGCGCTCAACTTCTTGCCATGGCCCAACTGCGAAGCATCGACGCCGAAACGGGCCAGCGGAACCTTTTGCCCCCGCGTTGCGAACTCTGTCTTCGGCACGACCCAATGTCTTGTTCACTGTCTCCGAAATCTTCGCCCGCCTCTCCAGCTTGACTTTCCACTCCTGCATCTCGTCTGCCGTCGCATGTTCCTTCTTCGGCAGCTGGGAGCACACGTGGTGCAACGCGCAGTGCAAGTTGATCATGTCGGGGCCCGCGTGGAGGCGCGAACCAACTGCGCGACGCCAATCCTTCAGCCGGTCGCGAGCTTGCTTTTGCGCGCGCTCTGGTGGCTGGAGGTCCAGAGCCTTCGCCGCGTCGCCGACATCGATCGCGGCCATGCCGCTTGCGATTGCGCAAGGCGCGCTGGATGCGCCACGTAATGACAACTTGAGCCTGAGCGTTGCGGAACGACTTTCCGAGTTGCAGGGCGCCAGCGGCGAGGGGGAGCAGGGGGGGGCAGAAGAGGCAGCGGGGTGAGGCAGCAGGGGGAGGCAGCAGGAGAGGGCAGCAGGGGGAGGCAGCACAGAGGAGGCAGGAGCAGGCAGCGGGAGGAGGGAGGCGGGAGCAGGCAGCAGGAGGAGCAGGCAGCAGGAGGAGAGGTGGAACCCAAGAAGGCCGAAGACAGCCCAAAGTTGGTCAAGAGGCCATCTATAATGTTTCTGCTGCCTCGTCCTCTACCTCCTCCTCCTCCTCCTCCTTCTCCTCCTTTTCCTCCTCCACCTCCTCTTCCTCCCCATCCTCCTCATCCTCCATCCCCCCCCATCCTCCTTCTCCTCCTCCTCCTCCTCCCCTTCCCCCTCCTCCTCCCCCCCTTTCCCTCCTCCTCCTCCTTCCCTCCTCTCCTTCCTACTCCTCTTCCTCCTTCCTCCTCCTCCTCCTCCTCTCCCCCCCCCCTCCTTCCTCCCCCCCTCCCTTCTTCTCCTCGCTCCTCCTCCCCCTCCTCCGCCCACCCCCCCCCCCCCCCCATCGTCGGCGCTCGAAGCGAGGTTCGCCGCCGCCAGGGCGGCAGCGTGCTGCGGCGGTGTTCCCGCCATGACATCGCCCTTCTCTCCGCGCCCTGCTTTTCTTTGCAAAGGCCTTGCGGCCGCCGCCGCCGACCCTGGCGGCCTCGGCCCTCGAGGGCGACAGGGTGGATGAGGAGAGGCTGGCGCTAGCAGTGGGTTGAGGGGGGGGGTGGGGGGGGGGGGGGGGGGGGGGGGGGGGGGAGGAGGAGGGGGAGGAGGAGGAGGGGAGGAGGAGGAGGAGGAGGAGGAGGAGGAGGAGGAGGAGGAGGAGGGGGGGGGAAGAGGAGGAGGGGGTCGGATAATGATGAAGCGAGTAAATCTTTGTCGGCTCTTGCAGGGCACATTTGCGCACTTTTGCGCACCTTTGCCCACTCTGCATTTGAGAGAAGGCTCCCATCACTTTCATTCTAAGTTAGCGCCGCGAGACACATTGATATTGCGACCTTCAGTCGCTTCCCTGGGTTTGACATTGACAGTAACGACTCCTTCCCGCCAGACTTGTTTCCCTCCCTTACCCCGACACTTCCTCTGCCCCTGGCTGGGCGTCCAATTTCCTTCTCTCCTGGCGGTGAAGGACAGAACCCACTCCTGATCAAGTGCGCCCCCCGACGGACTCAGGTCCATTTTGGCCGCGCAGGAGCTCCCGCCAGAGAGGCGCTCTCGGAGATCGCCCCGTTCCCGATGAAGAGCATCCCCCGAGAGGCTCAGGCCCATTTTGGCCGCGCAGGAGCGCCTGCCAGAGAGGCGCTCTCGACGATCGGCCCAGGGGCCTCACCGACGAGGGCGGGTGGCCTAGGGTTGAGGCCGCCCAAGGGGGTGACTACGGTTACGAGAGGAGGGGGGACGGACAGTCGTCTGCCCATGTCCCCGATCCGCATCCTATGGGCTTGCGCCTCCATTCCGCCGAACGCCCTCCCTTGGACGCTTCAATGCCGAGAGAGGCAGCCTTCGGCTGCCCAGGGGCCAATCTTCTCACCGTGGAGGCTGGCGTCCCAGTCGTGCAGTCGACCCCCCCCGCGGACGCGAGCCGCCGTCAAGACGGCTTTCGCCTTCCGCCCGCCGCCCTCCCTGGATGCAGCAGTGGGGTGCACACAGAAGATGGGCCTTCAGCCCAGGGAGCGCCGTGCGAGACAGCAGGTTTGGGCGAGTCTGTAGCTCACAGGTGGGCGCCGACGGCGATGCGGCGACCAGTCGACCCCCTGGTCATTCCCTTAATCCCGAGGGCTCCCGTCCGTCACCCGCCCCCCAGTCGGGCAGTCGCAGACGGGGCGAGCCTTCAGCTCGGGATTCTCATGCGGGACGAGCCTTCAGCTCGAGGCTCCAAGGCGCATCTGACAATCACAGAAGGGACGAGCCTTCAGCTCGAGAACCAGAGACGGCGCCAGTGGGCGCCGAGAGCGCCGCAGAAGCTGTGACCACGAGTGGTGACGACACCGGCCCTCCTGCCATCCCTGGTGAATCCACTCAGGGCCTCCCCCATCAGGTGGGCCCCCAAGCCAGCTGCGGGCGACCGACCGACCCCGCCGACGTAGTCATGGAGGAGACTGGCTCCACAACGGGGCCGTCCCAGAGAAGACGCTTCGAGGGCCGCGCGGCTGGCGCAGCCAGCGGTGCAAGCGGACCATTTGGCTGCCGCCATGACACCGCCGCTCCCCTCCCTGGAGACATGGGCACCGCTACAGCAGCAGCGCCCAGCTCCCACGCCGCTAACCTCACCGACGGGACTGGCCTTCAGCCAGGAATAAGCGAGCAGGAGACAGTTGGGTTGGGCGACAGGGGTTGCAGAGCGGCACGCCCCGCTGCCGACAACGCCGAAACGACCGACCGCGACCAACCTTCCCTGGTAACGACGACGGCGTTGTCTGCGGACCGACTCCGCACGTCCGATGCCAGCAGGGTCTCCACAGACCCCGCCTGCGTGGCAGGCTCCCTGGTCGATCGGATCGATCACATCGGACCTCCGATCGTCGTCGCGGGATCGCCCTGCGTCTCCCTTTCCTCGCCTACCCGCTCCCCTCCCATCCACTCCTCTCCCGACTCACCCCCTGGGCTAGAGCATCCAGATGTCTTTCTGGGTGGTAGTGGCCACGGCTGCGAAGACCCGTCCCAAGGACTGGACCGTGGACCCCTCATCAGGACTGCCAACGGTTCTCAATTCGTGTTGAGGCGCGCGGCTCCCAGAACGCCCGTTACGCCCGTCCCGCTCCCCTACCCTTCTCCTGACCTAGCCCTGGAGGAGGAACTGCGGAGGGAAAACCAGGGCGCCCCCTCGGACGCCGAGGATGGCACCAGCCAGGCCCATAGAGATAGGGGACAGTACGCAACCGACCTGCACGCTCGATGGATGGGCGCCACTGGGCACACGAACGCAGACTGGGCAGCCAGTCGAGAGGCTGACGGACCCATGTGTGGGCCGCGCATTGCTGACGCTAGGGTCACTGGCAGTCCGTCGCCACCCAGTGCGTATCGACGGC